CTGTCCCTAATTCTTTCACGCTCCCTATAACCACTTGCGTTTTAGTGGCTTTACTGCCTTGCTCGGGGTGATACTGATTAATACACAGACACACACAGACACACACAGACACAGACACACACACACACACACACACACATATATATATATATATATATATATATATATATATATATATATATATATATATATGCCATTGTCATTTCAACTTTGCTATATAGTTGCGAAACCTGGACTCTATATCGCCGCGACATCCAAAAATTAGAACGCTTTCACTGACAAAAGCTTCGTTGTATCTTGACCATCAAATGGCATTACTATGTGCTCAACACCAAAGCTCTTGAAATAGTCAACAGTCGAATCGTTGATCATTTAACACCCTCTTCGATGTTCAGGACATGTGACAAAAATAGGAGAGGCAAGGTTTTCACGTCATATCTTATTCAGTGTGGTGCACCCCTCACTGAAAATCTTTTTTCCATTTGATATAAATTAAATTTAAATTTGAACAAGGGAATGGCTCCTAGGTACTTGGTTAAGTATATTTCATTTTGATCAAGGGGGGTCCTCGGTGGGCATCCCACTACTGAAATTTGTTCCCTTTAATTTAAATTTAAAATTTGAACAGTGGAATGACTCCTATCCAAAATATAGAAGGAGAAAGCCAGAAGATGGTGGTCATATGGGTAAGATCAAAATGAGAATATTAGTGGGTAGTGCCTTAAAATACATATTTATTGCGACAATTTAACTGTTATATCAATATTGAAATCTGCTCATCAATTCATTTAATCAAATATTTATCAAAGGGCTTAGATCAAACTTTCTCTTCATAAGTCGCTTTTATTCTATTGTTGCTCGAGGTTTTTTAATCTTTTCATTTTTTTTCAACAAAAAAAAACAACTCATGTTTCCCTCTGCTTCTTCTACTTTAACTATGTGTTGTGAGTATTATGTTCTCTATGCCCACTTTCCTCAGAAATGCCACTTTTTGTATGTAAGTGTCTTTTAATTAATATTTTCTTTGATATTTTCTCGTTACGTCATAGATTTCACAGCATCTGTCGTAATAACCACATCTGTTGACTCATGTCTCTTCATCTGTGAAGAGTTTTTATATCTTGCACCGCCAAATAGAACATTTATTATTATACAACATGCCTGTTTTGGCTTTTAATGAAATTTACCCAAATACACTGCTTAGTTTCTGGAAGGCATATTTCGCTATCTCAGTGCACCTTCGGATTTCTGTGTCATATTTTTCATCGTCTCTTGCCTCGTCTGAATTTATTTCCTTCAGATTTTCATTAAAAACACTATTATGCAGCTTGGAAGAAGTTATTAATAAGGATAATTTTATTTGTTTTGTTGCGGCTTATCAACCTATTGTGGCTTATTTAAAGACAGATCAATTATTTTGGATTATGTATGGTTGCTGTCACCCATCTATGCCTGTGTTCGATACTGCTTAACTTCGGTTTTCGAACGATTGCATGTGTTTTTAGCGAGGTTTGAACGTAAGTTTTTAATAATGATACGTTAATGAACAACTTATTATTAAACGTTAACTTTTTAATATTTATTTATTTATTTTTTGATGGCATTTATTTTGCCGTGTCTTATCAGCATGTGGGTGAATATTGCCATACGTAGATTTCTATCCTTTGTAATTTAAATAAATAAACGGTAAGTTCTGTCTGTTCATTCCTGTATCTGAAACCACTCGAACTAGGGCCATACTTACGTAGACATATTTTATCTTTTTGGAATCAGGATGATCCCGGAATTGAAAATCTGCCCATCATCTTGTGCTTGAATATCCAGTAATGTGGATTTGTGTCCGGATGAGAAGGGAATAGGTAAAAATGCAAATTTTAAAATAACCCAAAAAAAAAAAAAAAAATAGTGATTTTAAAATCTTTTAATTTATATTGTGTTTAAAGTAACTTTCTTAATTTTAAAAACTTAAAAAAATCAGTTCAAAATATCGGCAAAACTTTTTGAATTGAAAAAAAATCAATTTTATTTCTTCAAAATACCAAGTACTTATAGTGTGAAGTTTCCTGACGTGAGGTTTTGAAGTTCCGTTGAGTTTGTGATTTGAAGAACTTTCGGCCCAAATCGGTCTTTTGGCCGAAATTGTACTTAGATCGAATCAGACATACAGTGAGGTTTTGACGTTCTAAGGAGTAAATTAAGGAATTATAAGTTATTTCTTCAAAATTATCATTGCTGTTTTCTAAGCTGGACCAGAGGTCCCTTCAGTTCTGTCCCGGAAACCTAATTAGCCTCCCCACAGGATCTAGTTAAAAAAGCTAGAACTAAATAATGCTTGTCCACCTTCTATCCCCACTCGTCTTGATTCTGTTATCCATACATACGAGAAATGTTAGGTAGGTTTTACGCTGACTCCTTCTGTCCGTCTTGCCTTCAATAAGTCATTTGAGTGTCAAATTATCAAACCTTTCTTTTCTCAATATCTCCTAGAAATTTTAACTGTTTCAGATTCTGAGTATAAATATCGTTTTTCTTTCCATTTCTTAAAACTTCCTAATTTCTCATATGATCCGTCTATGTTATCCACAGTATCTTTCTGTAGAATCACATCTTTGTTGCCTGGTCTCTTCTTTATTTGAGAGGAAATTGTCCAGCTCTACAGGACGAGTGATATTACAACGCAGTTCAGCGTCCGTTTCTTTGTTTCTAACGAAATTTCTTATTTTCTTAATACTTTGTCTAGCTTTTGGAAGGCATCTTTTGCTATTCCAATGCACTCTCCGTTTCACATCCAATAGTTAACTTTCCGTTCTACTTTGATTTTGATGATTCCACTCACGTCTGATCTCATCTTGGGCTATATAATAAACATACATTCTTTCGTCCGTAATCTCCCTGCCTGCAAAAAATAATGTTTTTCTTTTGACACCGCTATTATTTTAATTACCCTCACCACTCGGCAATGTTTATTATTTTAGAATTTGAACAAAACCTAAACATATGAAAGGGAGTTTATATATTTTCTTTGTTCTTGATAACTAACAACAAAATTGATAAACACTGTGTGTTTATTCGATTGTCTATTGACACGGTTTATTTATCATAATGTTTATTTGAATCGTTTCCAAAACATCACCAATTGATTCGAACTTTATAAAATGGTAAATGTTAAAGATTCCTTATAGTTGGTTTATATAATTTAATAATTTAGTAAATGTACATAAATTTATGAATTAAAAATTGTTTTCAGATTTATTTCCTTATGAATTGGTAAATGATAAATATTGCATTTAATTCGATTTACTTGTATTAGTTTTTAGAATGTTGTAAATACAAAATTATTTATGTAAATAAATAAATAATGTTTAATATTTATTATGTAAAATTCTCAACAAAAAATGTATAAATTCACATATGGTCACACGTTTAGGTGTTATTAACATTCAAATAATCGCTTTAAAAAAAAGAATATTAATAAACATTGCCGAGGAGAGAAGGTAGTTAAAATAATAATGGTGTCAAAGGAAAACCCGTTTTTTTTTCTTTTTTTTTTGCGAGTATAAAGATTAAAGATTGCCATTTCTTCTTATTTCTTATAATGGTAATTTCTTTCTTCACTCTTTACTTCAATACTCTGTCTCGTATTTCGTGCTGAGAATGTCTTCTTTTATTAGACATTTTTCAATTTTGCACAATTCCTACTGACCCAACGTTCCCACCCAGTCTTTGTAAGTCTTTTGTGAGCACTGATTTGGCTCATGTGATACTAAATCTCTACAGATATTAAGTGCTCTTTTACATTTTCTTTTTATCTTTTGGTAGTGCCGTGATGAGTAATGTTTCAAACTCTTCCTTATCATTCTTTAAGCAGTTATGAATTTATATTGTCTTGTGATGCAGCCATTATTACTACATCATCATCATCATCATCATCATTATTATTATTATTATTATTATTATTATTATTATATGCGTTTTTATTCGCCCCCGATTTCACAGTGTCATCAGTTATTCACTTCTGGTCTCATTATAGAAAAAGGTGGTCTTACTAATTATGAAAAAAATGATTTCAGAAAAGTGCTTGTCGGCTTTTCTGCTTGCGTATCTGTCTGTCTGTCTGTCAGTCAGTCAGTCACAGTTATTACGTCTGTCTGTGTGTCGACTTCTCAAGCGACAGGTGCACCAAGAGAATTTATGGAAAAAAAACAAAAAACAAAACATAATCACCGTCCTTATAAATTGTTATTGCTTTTTTTTCTCTCTCTCTAGGTTGCAATCATTTTTCAAATAAATCCTCAAGTTGATTATAGTCTGCTGGTTGGCAATGCAGCTGGAGTTCATTAAAATATTCCTAACATTTTATATATACATATACGTGTGTGCGTGTTTATGTAGGCACGCGTTTTTGTGTGTGCCAGAGCTCGACTATGTATGCATGACTATAGCTTTGAACGACTGCGTATTTTAAGCGTCTATTCGACTGTGTTCAGTTGTGTACGCAGTTTATAATTTATTTTATTTCTTTTGCTATTTAATACAATTTCCTGCCCTAAAACCTTATTGTTTAAACAACTGTTTTGAATCAAAAGGGAAAAGAAAGGACATTATAAGTTAGATTATAATTAATTACTCTACAAATATACATTAATCGACATGGCACCTCAGCGATATAATAGGTCATGGAGGAATAGAGACAAGATTAAATTTGTTAACGCTCATGTATGTCATTAAAAATGTTTGTGATAATAATATAAGTTGTAAAAATAAAGGGCTTCATTTTATGTCATTACAGCCATTTAAATATGAAACTACACTTTTTTTACGATGATTATTTTTAATTATTACAAGAGTTTACGTTTTATGATACTGATCTTTTTTCTTTTATTAACGTTCACCCAATACAAGGCCCAAGAACCACTTGATTAAGTGACTGTTTTTTTATGACTTATGAAACATTTGGAGGTTATTTAAAACCAGAAAATAATTACTTAAAGCCAAATCATGTTGAAACGCCGGTATATGTACGATCACCGAAATTAAGCAACATTAAGCGTGGTCAGTACCAAGATGGGTGACCGCTAAGGAATACCAGGTGCTGTAAGCTTGGATGTGCGAATGCTGTAATAGATAATAGCAAAGAATTGTTAATTCCAGTTAGGTTTTTTATACGCGCAATTTCCACTGGGAAACTTACGAATCCACCTCTTGTACCCCCAGCTATGGGTTAATTAGTACATCTTTTATCGCTAAAAACGTCATTATCTCAAAAAAAATTTTTTTAAATTGTATAAAATGTTTAAATTTCGGAATTAAATAGCCCACAAAGATTGATAGGCCGCTAAACAAATATAACCAATCAAGACAGAAATTATTTTGAGATTGTAAGAAGTCTTTTTGAGTTAAATGATCTACTGATATGTCAGCACTTGTTATTCCCAATTGGTCACCCATCTAGCTACTAACCAGGCCCGATTTTGCTTAACTTTGTTGATTCTGCGAGAACCGGTGTTTCAAAGTCATATAGTCATAAACCGAGAGCCATTCACAGTAGATGGATGCTAAATGATGTATTTCCGCAAGAACAGGAAGAAGGCTATGAGGCTATGTTTTTTTTTTTTTTTTTTAGCATTTCACCCCAAGCAAGGCGGGGAGCCACTAGGACGCAAGGGGTTACAGAAAATAGGAAGATCAGATAGGAGTGATAGAAGAAAGGATGAGGGTAGTAGATAGATTAAGGCAACTGGAGATGTCGATTGACATTACACTTGAATAGCTGGAGATTATAACTCTCAGGGAAACAGGAGAAGGGAAGAGAGTTCCACAGGCGAGAGGTGCGAGACATGAAGCTATTAGAGTAGTAGAGACGGCTACATTTATGAGTTTCGACAGTGAAGGGGTGAGAGCGGGATGCCAGCCTCGTAGGGCGCTTGAACTCATGAAGTTTGGGAACCAGCGAATGCAGTTCCTCGGAGCAATTTCCATGAAAGTATTTGTAGAACAGACAGAGGGAGGCGACGGTGCGTCTGTGAGAAAGTGACTGTAGACGAGACGCCAGGGTAGGGCCAACCATATTACATATCCGCCTCTGAAGCCTATCAAGAACCCCGAGGCAAACAGACCATATATGGCAGCAATACTCCATGCAAGGGCGAATTGTGGATTTGTATATCTGGAGGATCGACTCAGGGGAGAAAAACTTCCTAGCACGGCTCAGGGAGCCAACTTTCCTCGCAGTGGACGAGGCAATTGACTCGATGTATTTATTCCATCTCAGGTCAGCAGTCAACGTGAGACCGAGAAGCCGCAGAGAGTTGCTCTCGGGAAGTTGAGCGTCAGACATTATAATGGAGGGGAGGGGAAGGCTCTGTGGTGATTAATAGAGAGCAGTTTAGTCTTCGAAGCGTTGAAGTTGACCAGCCAAATCTTGCCCCAGTTCACAATCGATTGGAGGTCCTTTTCGAGGCGCACGGCAAGGTGAGTTTTGTCAGCGAGACTGGATTTGTTTTTGAGGCAGGAATAAATTGTGGTGTCATCCGCGTAGATGCCGACTTGAGAAGTTACGGCGTCAGGAAGGTCATTTATATAGATAAGGAATAGAGTGGGGCCTAGGATGGAGCCTTGAGGAACTCCTGCGTTCGTGGGGTAGGAACTGGAGGAGAATCCGTTGTGAACGACCTTCAATTCACGGTTTGACAGGAATGATTGTATTACGTTATATAATTGACCCGTAATGCCATAACCCTGGATCTTGCGGAGAAGGCCGGCGTGCCAAACCCTATCAAATGCTTTGGAGATATCTAGTGCCACGGCTCGGGCTTCCCCGTTATTTTGGAGAGTTCGGTAGACTGTTTCCGTGATGGCTGTGAGCACATCGGCTGTAGATCTGGCAAAGCGGAAACCATATTGCTTGTCTGAGAGCAGATTATTGGATGTGAGGTGGTTAACCACCCCGGTATTGATTAGAGCTTCGAAGATTTTGCCGAAGAGGGGAAGGAGACTGATAGGACGGTAGTTGGAAGGGTCAGAGGGGTCGCCGGAGTTCTTGAAGACAGGAACAATCGAAGAGGACTTCCAGCAGTCAGGAAAACAAGATTCCTTGAGGCAGTAGTTGTATAGTTTCGAAAGGGCGGGCGCCAGTTCAGGCGCGCATTTCTTTAAGACAATGGCTGGTATCCCATCTCCACCACTCGCCTTGTTGAGATCTAAATTGGAGATAACGCCCAGTACCAAGGTTGAGGTTATGTTTAACCCACTCAATATGGCCTCAGTTCTAAGAGGAAAGTCGGGTATGGGTACACCAGAAGAGTCGAGCGTCGAGTTGGATGAAAATTTCCGAGCAAAGCATTCAGCCTTGTCGGTAGAGGAGGTCAAGACTTCGAACTGGTTGAATAGAGGAGGTATAGAGGGTTTGCACTTATTCAATACACTCTTGCAGAGACGTCAATAATCTTTGGAGCCAAATTTGCGAGATGCAATACGCTCCTTCATTCGAGCCGCAAATAGTGACTTAGCATCATTTAGGACACGCTTACAATCGTTACGGGCGGCGGCAAAGAGACGTCTATTGCAGTCAGACATGTCGCTACGGTATAGGTGGAAGTAGTGGTTCCTATGGGCGATGGCGGCTGAGCAAGCAGCCGAAAACCAAGGGCAGGAGCGCGTCTTAACCCTATATTTCCTTGATGGGATGAAAGCGTCGATTCCAGCTTTAACCCAGGAAGAGACCTCAAGAAGCACTTGGACGTGGAGCTTAAAGACTCCATCCCAGGGGACATCGCGGAGGAAATCACGGAACGCGTCCCAGTCAGCTCGTTGATAATAGAACGAAGTTCTAGTGGTAGGAGGTTCTTTATAGGGGAGGAGTTAAAGGAGATGTTAACCGATACTACTGCATGGTCAGAGTTACCAAGTGGGCATAGTTGCGAGGCGCTGCAGGATTCGGGGATGGAGGTAAAGCACAGGTCGAGTAGAGAGGCTTTACTTACCCGGTTGAGGGCAAAACGAGTGGGGAAGTTAACTATCTGTGTGAGGGAATGGGAGATTGAAAATTAAGCGTTTGAATGCCTGCATGGTCAGTAGTAGCATTCTTAAGCCACAGAGTGTGATGGGCGTTAAAGTCTCCAAACACAAAAATGTGAGCAAACGGGTGGAGGGAGAGAGCCTTGTCTATGTTGTCAGAAATGCTATCAAGTATCTCACAGTCTTGAGAGGATGGAGAGCAGTAAAGGAAGAAGAGATAGCTTACCGCATTGAGGAGAGAGAGACGGAGACACATGTATGACTGGTCAGGCGATTCAAGAGAGGACTCTCTGGTCAGGGGAGATGTTCCTTGACGTAGACACCAAGACCGTGCATGTGGGTTAGAGAGTCTTTTCTGAGGAGAGGAAGATAGCCGGGGATCGAGAGATCAGAAGAGGGGATAGATGAGACAAGGTTTGTCTCACAGAGAGCAAGTACATCCGGGCCGTTTGCAGTGAGGAAGGATTCCAGACTGTAGAATAGACAGCAGTTAACCCTAGACTTGAATAGGTTAAGATGATAATAGCCAGGTAAACTTAACTTTGGGAGTCTGTTCCATAAAGCAACAGTTCTTGGGAAGAGGTTACCAGAGCGGAACTTCCTTCTTGCTAACGGGATACGAAGATGATGAGGGTGATTCTTCCCCATGCATGTGGTATAGCCAGTCCTAGCTGAAAATGTCAGATCTGGTGGAACTAAGGAATGTCCGTCAGAACATTTACAATAGAAATAGCACTAGAACAGTGAGAAGTTTTTAGCTCTGAGATGCAAAACTATATTAGTGTGGCTTTTATTAATACTTCATTAGTGAAAAGAAATTCTGATATGCTATCGTCGGCTCCATCGCCTGTGTATTTTGAGATAAACAATCATCAAAAGAAATTTCTTATCCCATCTGTCGTCTCGGCTTCAGGCACTTCCTACCACTGCAAAGTTGCCTCCCTGTGACTTTTCTATAAATACTTTCATAGTAATTATTCGTTATGGTGTTAGGAATATTGTAATATGTCTGGTTCAGTGTTTGTGGCTAGCTAAGTTTAAAGTTAAGACAGATAAATCCCGTACTTTTCCTCATTCCCCATTTGGCCTTGTGCCACATTTTGTAAATATTTACAAATAAATATCGCTCTTCTTTATGGTGTCTAGACTCTTTGAATTTAAGCGCACTACTCGACTGGTGATGATGTCTCCCAAATTTCGAGTTGAGCTGGCTAGATGTAAATATATATTCTATGCTAACAGTTTCTTTTCTCGCACTTCTCGCTTATGGAACTCCCTTCCGACTCGATGATTTATATCTAAGTTTAATCTGACAAATGTATTGTCAATCGCTATCTACTGTCATCCTGATTACATTTCCTCTGTTCTTATTTCTTAACAATATTCCTGTTTCTAACTCTTCCACACCCCCTGTAACACTTTACGTTTTAGTGGCTTTACTGACTAGATTGCGGTGAAGTCAATTAAAAAAAAATATCATTACTATTATATTTATTGCTGACTTTTTCGTCTTGAATTCCTTCAGTACTAATAAACTCAAATTAATGACCTCTTGTTTGGTCTTTGGATTATTTGGATTTAATCAGATTTTGTGACATGGAGCATTATCCTGTATAAAAATGAGCTCGGTGGGGTCGATTTGCACCCTTTCAATAGAAGGGAGCAGACAAGACTCTAAAATTCTCTTGTACTGCTAGCTCCTGAAGGTCTTTTCAATAGGTTTTTAAGAAAACAGTTCCATGAAAAGAAAAGCATCCCCAGAACATTATACTGAACGGATGCTTGACAGTACTTACTGCTAAATTCAAAGAGCTTTCAAAGCTTCTTCTTCGGATTTTAGATCGCTTATCCTTTGAACTTAGCTCAACTTTCGTTTCATCAAACAGTAGGCGAAAAAGTTTTTAAGTAAAAAAATGAGGTGAGTCACTTTTATCGAACAGCACTGTACAACAGAACTCTCCCGTCGTTTTCGACGTCTCAGTACATAGGACCGAAAAAACAGACTACACACACATATGATTTGATTACAGTGGTGAAATGTTACATAGAACGAACCACACGTTTTGGAAGAGCCGAATACAGAGAACTGGTGCACTTAATGTGTTACAGGGTCTCCAACTTCAATGAGTTGTGCTTCTCATAGACCCAAGGCTATAGGACCAATTTTTTCTGCTATTTACACCTATATATGTATATATATATATATATATATATATACATGCACATACACACATATATACACACACACACACACACATATATATATATATATATATATATATATATATATATATATATATATACTATAGTAATAATGTTATAAATATAAGAAATTATACTAGTCTGGAAAACCTTGGGCACTTTGATATGTAAATAAACAGATCAATACCCAAGGGGGAAAAAGTGTTACAAAAAAAAAAAAAAAAAAAGAAAGAACAGAGAACATGTACGTCAGCCGAAGACAATCGTCTAGCATCCAAGTTCAAAACCGATACAA